ACTTCTGCACCGCATCGGACATTCTGACGCGCGTGAGCGTCAGAACTATATACTTCATTTTTATTGTGCTTGCGTTCTTTCTTCCTGAATTTTAATCATTCTTTGTATGGGCATTACAATAGCATGACTATAAACCACATGGCAGCCAGAGTGGTCAAACATCCCTTGATTTAGGAAGATTTTCTGAACGTACAGAACTTTCATTTCAACTCTTTCCTAGTATTCCTTTCACCGTCGTGAGCATAAGATTACAATGAATGAATGAATTGAAAGTAGGAGCAGTTAATATAAAACTGTGATTTTCAAGATAATTGTAATTGATAGAAAAACTTAGGTATAAATGCTTTCAGCTTAACTTCAATTCGCAGCAAAAGTGTTGTTTTTTGGTTCTTCGTCGTCATTATCTTCTTCCTCTAAACAAACTTCTACTGGTAATCTGTAAAGGTGACCTCTACGCTTTCATCCTTGCCGAAACGATTCCATGAGATTCAAGTTGTTGCGCATTTCAAACAGAAAATAAGCGCAAGGAGGGTGAGAACGGCTCGCTCGGCCAACTCGCTCTTGTCCACCGTGGCAAAATGCTAAAAACTATTACTCGCTAGATCCGGTCTTGTCGATGTAGTCAACGTGTTAAAGGCAAGAGAGCGGGCCTAGATAAAGGAGGTGCCTCTACAGCATGTGTACACATTGCGGAGATGCACTTTCATTCCTTGTACTGCTTTCAAATACGTCCTTCTCATAAAGGTAAAGGAATGGAGCGACTGGACCTGCAAAGAATATTTTATCTCATGTTTTCTCACATACCTTGTTTTCTGCTGCGCTACACCCTCTCTCTCCTATCTGACGTTACTGACCCCAGTGAGTACACCCCCCATGACCAACCCTCCTGTCGAGGATTTCCTCGACCGATATTCACCCTGCTCTAAACTATCAGGTTGGGTGGGCACTTTACACATAGGCAATTTCTTGAATGTCAATGTAATTGACCTGATTGAGGAAATTTTGTTTTGAGCCTCGACAGATGCACTTCTTCCATGCTCAAATGAGCAAGATTTTTTTTGATAAAAATTTGATCCTATAGGGAATATGGAGTCATAGGGTTAAAAGCGTTCCAACGAGGAGTTTTGCGCGCTACCGTAAAACTTTTTCAGAACGCCATTTCGCAGACGGATGATGTAACAATCTCTACTATCAATCAGATGAGTGATGTGTCATACGAGACAGTAGTTCGAACACTCACAAATGTCAGCACACGAGCGAGAAGTAAGGATCGTTTCCATCAAGTGTAGGAATCCAGGAATCCAATGGAATAGTATAACAATAACTACGACATTGGTTCAAAATAGAACATAGTGGAAAACGATTTGGAACCCGCGCAAGAATAATCGTAGCTGATCATGGGTCGCCAAGTAATCCAAGTAAGTAAGTATGGAAGCCAGCTTTATATAATTAATCAAACGACATTCGCGGAGCATTAATTTCAGGTACCGCAAAACATGGTGGTACAAAGTTATTTCATTGACAGTTGAAGTCTTTATCACTGCAGAATGTATGGAAACAAATTCTTAAAACCTACGAGCACCATTTGCAGTCATGAATAGGAGGTAGTAGTAATGAACTTCTCCAGACCCAATACGTGTTCGGCTGGATGAGCCTTAATCTTAAAGCGAGAGATTACGATAGGGTTGTGTTGTGTTCATAGTGGAAGTGTGAAGATGCTGAATAATGCCCTAGTAGCGAAAAAAGCAAAGAAATCCGTCAAAAACGCGCAAAATGGGACCACTTCCTCTGCCCGTTGACCTCCGATAATGGACGAGTTGGCAACCAACTAAGAGGTCGTCGGCACTCGTTAAACCATAGCTGCCATCATACCACCAGAGATCATACCTTGATTGATATAGCATTCCATGAGAAAAAAATTGGATACGCGCTCGAAGTGGCATACCTTATCAGAATGATAATCGAACAGCGATCTGCTGAGGGGCGGAGCACAGGCGGAGGCGGAGCTCAGAAAGGATTGGCAGCCCCAGGGCGCTGCAACGAGCGCACCTTTAGTCACAAAAAGGCCACATCTCGATTCCTTTGGGCTCTAGCTACTGCTTGAAGTGCTGCTCGTTCTTCCATGCTGCACAGAAATTTTATCGTAATCTCTCGCTTTAATCCACACCTGCGTTCTAGTGAAATGTGCTTTGAACACTTCGATAGCCTAGTTTTTTTGCCATGTGTGACGGTGCCATTGTGAAACGGGGCTACCTCACCTCATGGACCAATGTTGAGTAAACGAGAAAATGAGTGGTGCGAAATGATTACAGCAATGATTTATTCGTACAGCATATCCAAGGGTAAATTAATAAGATTAGATCAAGAGGATGTGCAATGGTAATGGAAAACTAAAATTTAATAACTCTGTTGGCGAAGGAAGTCCAGACATTTTTTCCTCGAGTGTTAAACTAGAGGCACATATCTTGCCAATTTTGTATTTACTTCTTTTACTTTATTTATCTGGATGACGTTGGAAATGAAAAAAAGGAAAGATGAACTATGCATAGTGGAAGTTTCGCACAAAGCGAACTTCTGCTGAATAAAGGCATGTGTGACCATTCTCGTTCCTTTTTTGAAATCTTTCATGTTCAACTATGATTTAAGAATGGACATAAAGGAAGGGAGTGATTCGTGCGTGCACGAAAAGATATTAGGTTATGGCAAAGATCCTGGCCATTCGTCAATTTTTTTCCAAATTTATTTTTCGCACGCTTAACAGTACACACATGTATATCATAGTTATCGGCGGCCAATATAGTCGGACTAGCCATTAATTGAGGGGGGGGGGGAATTTGTTGTTCCTTGCAAAGCCACGAAGTATGGCCGTAAGCGCGATGGTTGAGCAGTGGAAGTCCTGACGATCTGAACCGTGGCTCTGGCTCTGGCGAAGCAGCCGGTCGTTTGCCTAATATTGTTTGCCAACATTTTGGAGGTTTCATTATGCACAGAATCCTCACGAGACATGACCATCCGAATACACCTCGGAGCATTTTTGACAACTCGCTGAAGCACCTTTTTTGTAGAAATTCAGCTTCGAGAATCACCTGCTTGACGGAAGATGGAGCGTTTTTGAATCTTTTGCATGCCAAACTCGAAGATGTTAAGTTTCCGTCACTCCATCACTGCTCACTAGGAAGTAACTACCAGTAATTGTAGAAGCGAAGGAACGTAAACGAAGTCTGTAACAGCCGTAATTGTTGTTTGCTCAATGAGGAAGAGATCCGTAACTTTTTTGCTAATCAATATTTTGGTGTTTTCGATTGGTAATTATTTTAAGAAGTGACCAGTTTGCAACGAGATTTACATATAGACAGTTTTCAAAAGTTCCTATCACTGTGCTGCGGCTTCATTTATATAATGTTATAGTACCAGTGAGTCACAAGGAGTAATCGGAATAGTATTTCTGCAAACGTACCCTATACATATTTCAGTCATTGTGGTTTGTCTCAAAGAAGGAAGTGGTTACAAAAGAGACTTCATTCTTGCTGCTAAAGATGGTGGTTTCCTCAACGAGGAGTACGTGTGTATATCTTCGCAGATACTAAGTCCAGAGGATTCGGTAAGCTGTGAGATTTCCAATGTTATATGTTAACCAGTTTAGCTCCGCACGCTACCGCGCGCATGACACGGTAGGCTTTATTGAAAATGGAGCGTCTGTGGACGATTAGGTCCCACCGCTCAAGAAAGCAACATCATTGATTTGCATCGTGAAATGCCTTAGCTGACCATTGCCATGGCTCTCCAGTTGCTGGAGCTCACAATTTGCGCGCGCGATAGTGTGATAAGCTAATTGTGTGTAAACACCACCATGCGTTGAATGTCAGGGTAATTTAGCTGTCGGTGATTTTTGATACTAATGACAATCTGTGTAATGCTAATGGCAAAATGACAATATTACCCTACTACATATATATAATTCGTAAAGTATGTCTGTTTGCGCGAAGTATGCGTGATGTGTCAGTTTGTCAGCGAAATCAAGCGCGCTTCGCTGCAGGTTAAGGAGCGCGCTATATTTTGAGTATGAATTCAAGAGGTACGACGTCATTATACTTTGTAGGGTCAGAAAGTGATAACGGCTGATAAGAGTTGATAAGAGGCGCTAGAACGCAAATTTTACGAAATTTATAGCGCGCGTCCCAGCAGCAGTGGAGTGTTAGTTTCAATAAATGATACAGGGTGAGACCGCGCGTGTCAAGCGGGCAGTCCGCTAATTCAATGAAGCAACTTATATCTTACCACTTTGGCTGCGCACGCAAATTTGCGTGCATCATGCGGCGACAGCAATGGCATATCCGGGACTTCTTAAGACCGAATTATAAATTTGTGGCAAACTCCGCACACTTCAGTGCGTGCCACACCTGCTGTCAACACTTCTTTCCTTCCTTCTCCACTCTTTGCCCGGGCTCCAGGGCCTCTTGTAATCGTGCTATGATGTTTCGTTCAAAACTCCGCCCACTTTTGTGCATGTGCCGCCCACCCATAGCACTTGAGCTCATTTCCTTCTCCGACATAGATCCACTTTTTCATCTTTCCACTCGATCATCTTTCCGTCTCTCAGACTTTATGGAATCGGGTTATAAGTTTGATATCAAACTCCGCTCACTTTTATGCGAGATGCGCCCCATCGACATCTATCCTCACTGCCTTCTTTGACCTCTACCCACCTTTTTCCAACTCTCTGAAACTCCTGGGAACAGAGTTATGAGACTTGTAGGAAACTGTCTACTTCAGGACACGCTCCGCCCATTGTGGGCGGGCCTCCGTTCACGTCATGTATGCAGGAAATACCTTAGGCATTGCTCCCCTACACAAATTTTTTCCTGCTCTGTAGGCTTTCTCCTACCTGAGTTGTTTATTGTTATGAGCTCCCATAACATACAGAAAACCGTTTCGAAAAAGCTTTCCACATCCTGAACGACCTCCCTTGTTAGTCCTGATTGGATCCAATAGTGAGAGGGTGCAGGCGAGCAGGAAACAGGTGCTAAATAGCGCCAACGACTAAAACGAATGTCATATTCGTAATCAGGGCCTCAAATAACCCCCATACGCAAGTTTACAGCGAATTTGGTGAAGACACCCTTGGCGCCAACTGGCGCCAAATGGCGCCAATTTGGCGCCAGCGCCAAAAATGGATATCATATTTGAGATCAGGACCCTCGAAAACCCCCATGGGAAAAGTTTCAGCGGAAAAAAATTTCAACTTTTTCGGTGAAATTTTGAAGTCAGGATTATTTTTTCTTCAATAAAATTCTAGTGGATAGAGATTTCCTCTTGCCCAGGGGTGGCCTAGATAGATGAGGGTATGAAGATTCTTCACAGCAAAGAAAATCTCCCAAAGACCTCCTTTTGTTTTCAAAAATTCCATTTAAAGCCCGTCAGCCACCGGTGGCTGACATGGTCCGAAGTGGACATCTTCGCGTCAGCCACCGGTGGCTGACATTGTCGCGAATGGGTTAAGCCACATGATAGAGTCTCATACAATTTATCACTTTCACGCCGAACTACGGCAGTAGACTGTTCCACAGACAAGAACGACAAGTTTGTAATCAACCTCCGACTTTATAAGGCAAAGGCTCCGCTTTCATTTTAATTTGATGCTTCCTTGTAAATAAACGTTTGTGTATACACCACAGAGCTTCGATAAGCTTAGAGTAAGGACACTGATACCTACCGCGATGAATGGCCTCGGCCTGAATGTACATTAGAAGGCTAATTAGATTGGTGGAAGACTATCTGTTACGTGATGTTACTGCAAGGCACTCCTAAAGAGCTTCAATTAAAAAAACAGAACACAATCACTGAGCAACTGGAGCTTTCAAGGAAAATATTTTCAGTTGTGCCCTTAGGTGGAGGAAAAGAAAGGCCTATCTGGGAGGACATTCGGCCGCAGAAGGATGGTAGAGACGAAGAAGCAAGAATGGCGTTCGGACAAACAATTGTCATTTCAGATGTGGGTTATTCTTGTTAAGAAGACCTCCTTTAATAATTAGTGGATGATAATTTGTTTTACGTTCAATTGCGATAGCGTTGTGACAGGGCTAACAATAAATACTTACCCTTTTTCTGTAAAACAAAAATATGCAGCATATGTAGTTGACACTAAAAACAGTATCTTAGTAAATCTCTAAAACTCTTGATGTTAGTGTTTCTTACTTGCTCTGATGGTTGTGATGGCATTTCCATTATGATGACATCTCTTTGAGCTGACATCTTCTCACCAACATCAGTGCATCGAAATCCCTGTGCATGGAAAGTTTTTTTTTCAAACGCAGAAACATGCAGTGATCATCTGCAATCTGCACATGCTTCTGCATTTTGAATTTGCAGCCCCCGAATTGTCAGGATCGCCGCGCATCTCGTCGCACGATTCGCCGCTTGAATACGTCGTTATTCACTAGAGATACTACGAAATAATAATGGCTGTTTTTGGAAACAGCGTACTAGTTCTCCATAATCCACCTACACAACTTCTGTCTCTGAAGAGCTTCAATTGTAATAATAGTTTCGAAGGTGCGTTAGTTCCTTCGAAGAAAGAATCTTGCGTCCAAACTTTTTTCTTCCAGTCCTTATAATCGATACTTTCAATGAATATACATAATATAAGAAAAGTCCTTATGAATTTCATACCTGTTTTCCACTTCACTACACTGCGACGCATAATCTTAGTTCCACCTACAAATTTCCCAAAAACTAGAATTTGGAGATGTTTTTGAAAAGGGCTCTACAGACAAATTGTGACACATGCAAATCTGAATATCACGGAAATCCAGTTTGAGAAAGCAAAAATTTTTTATCCTCATTTTTTCGAAAATACCCGACTTGCCTATGACGCAAAATCATAGTTCCACCACATGTTTCTCTGCTGCATTTTGCTTTTACCCAATCAAATTTTGAAATTATTACCCACTCAAGTCCCTTAGCTTATAGCAAAGGCAAAACCGCTGTCGAACTTCCGTAAAAGGAAAATCCTAGCAAAAGAGACGCAGGAATTGTTGAAGTGTCAGCTCACGCTGGAATTTGTCGGGGTGACTTCATAACGAACAAATTTCTCAAGGATGCTACAGGATATGATTCTGGGAAGAACCCTGATTACTATCCGACCGAGATAAGCGCCGTATCGTGAGAAAATAATACGACTTTATCCAGACGGGTACGGAAATCAAAACTTCTTCAAAAGTTAGTGTCTCAATGGAAGCAGTTTCACGTGTTTTACAACACGCTCGTGACAGTCCATGTCTGGAAGATAAAAAAATACGCTTTTAGTGAAAAGAAATCAGAGAAGAAAACGAGCCATTTTTCTCAAAAAGTTTTGCTAAGTAGAGCGAAGTGAGGACACTTTTTTATCTGTGATATTTTGGAACCTCTGACCATCCTCCTGATCATTTTCTTCTCCATACATGTGTGCTACGAAGTAGAAAACCGATCTGAGAAAGAAAAACGTTAAGAGAAAGAAAGACGCAAATCAAAAGTCGCAAATGAAAGAATGCCACCGCTTCACTCGAACTGGCTGAGCTTTCAAAGAAAAATGGCTCGCTTTTCTCCTCTGATTTCTTTTCACTAAAAGCGTATTTTTTCATCTTCTAGCAT